CTAGAGCATCAACTGAGAAAAGGAGACTACGCATTGCAGTTCTGCAAAGAACACACTATTTGGGCCCCTAAGAATTAGATTCTAACCAGGAATGAACAGCCTTAAAAGCTCCATTTTGACACCTTCGGAAGAAACCTTGGAGAAGGCGTTCTACAGGCAGACTAATGCAGCCCTTCCCTGAGAGACCTTGTGAGCCAGTGACGTGTTCGAAAAACTGGCCTGTGAGTTGCCTGGGGACAATGGGAGTTGAATCCGGATGGACAATGCTGAGTTAGAGTTTTCAGGAAGCCGCTAGACGGTGCAGGATGCACAGATGTTCTGAGTCCTCCAGGAGCGCCTCTTAACCTGAGCTTCCTGGTGTAAGTACATTTCAAGGAGCTATTCCAAGACCAAGAAGTTGCTTGTCTTGTTCCATCTGAAGGACCTTAAACTAGTGGACTGTAGAGAGAACAGGGAAGGGATCACTTCGCAATATATTTGAGCACGGAGGGTTTTTCTATTGCCATCCCCCACCCAATGGTTATTTGTATTTTTTTTCTTAAAGAAATGGTTATTTTCTTCTCAGAATGCAATAAATTGTGAATGGCAACCGTGGCCTGTTTTCTTTCCAAACATTGGTTATCTAGTTTAGCAAGGACACTCCTTTGGACTGCAAAGCTCAGGAGTTTGGGTTATGACGTTCCATCAAGTGCTGCCAAGTCTAAGCAGCAGCTGGTGGGCTTTCCATCAGGGTCCTTTCTCAGAGCTTCCTCTCAAAGCTGTCTTCTACAGCCTTGCAATCCTCCATGCGATGTCCTTTTCTGAAATTTCTGTGAATCTGCTTGGAAAAATATCATTTGGGTGTGGGGAGGCTGCTGGGGAGCCTGATATTGCCCCGTGAACCCCTTTTCTCTCACTTCCCTTCTTTAGGTTAAGGTGAAAGAACTTATACTCGCCTGCTAATTCTATATGGAAGAGGAAGTTTTGTGCAGCTATCAGAAGCCTGGCTTTCCTTGTGATGCCGGCTGAACTGGGATTGTTGGCGCGTTTGACTGGATAGCAGGAGCTGGCACTCTCATCTGCATCGGTGGCACACCTGGCTGAACAGCAATTGCAGGCCCTCTGTGGCAGGAGGCAAACTGCAACCTGGGACAGGGAAGGTGGGCACACAACAGTGTGCAGTTACCACTTTTTTCGTGATCTTCCCCTGCACCTCCCCAAGATTCTGAGCTCTGAGCTGCTTTGGATGATCTTCCTCCAGATGCAAGCGCAAATGCCTCAAAAGCCTTCAATAAAATGTTGCCTCCAGTGGAACCAAAATTCCTGACTAGATCTTATGTACGGGCGCCATTTATGGAAGTATTTAATGGCCCAGTTAGACTCTGTCTGTGCTGGTCCTGGATCCGAGCGGTGGGAAGTACCTCTTTGTGGGAGGGGCAGTTCCATGTGCCTCGCAGGAAGCAGTGGTCTGCCATGTTCTCAAGAAGCCATCACTAGACCCAGCAGTGCTGGACAATTTTGGTCCAGTCTCCAGCCTCCTCTTTGGGGAAAGGTTGTTGAAAAGATATAAAGCCCTCAGCTTCAGAGGGCCCTGTAGGAAGCAGATTATCTAGAACCATTACACTTGGGTTTCAGGCTAGAATATATTCCTGAGTCAGCATTGAACATGCCTGTAGATGATTTTTGACAGGTTTGTGATGGGAGTGAGGAAACCATCCTGGCCTTCCTTGATCTGCCAACAGCGTTTAAGACCATTGCTCATGGTATTCTTCTGGGCTGGCTAAGGAGGTTGGGAGTGGGAGACACAGCTCTTCAATGGTCCTCCTTCCTCCAAGGCCAGTTGCAGTTCACGCTGGTGGGGAAGAGAGCTTTAGCCATAGGCCCTACTACGTTTGACTCTCTCCCTGCTCCTATTTAGCATCTACGTGAAACCTCTGGTGGGAGCCATCTTGTTGGCACGGGGACCAGTATTAGTAGCATGCTGATCGCACTCAGCTGTGCATCTCAGCCCCCGGTTGTCCACGGTGTAAGGTTTGCCCCGTTCGACAGAGAAACTCTCGTGACACGTGTGGTTCACAAAAGAGGTTTACTCAGGCGGATCGTAGCAGTCACAAGCAAAGCCAGGACTGGCTTGGTACAATT